GGGGGTAAGTTTTCCTGCCGGTACAATCCATATTTACATTTTTACTAAAGAACAATTGTTTAATTTTATTTATTTGTTCTTAAATAATTTATTAATTTACTGCGTTTCGTATATGTGTCGTCCTTTAAACGATATTTGCGGAACAGCCCTATTTTAATAAAATTGGCGCCAATAATTTACCGTTGTAATCTGAACGCTTGCTGCAGTGGCATTCTCCATGTTATCCGAAGCGAAGCGACAAGACTCTCATTGAACAAACCAAATGTTACGTCACCGGAGTTTTTGCTTTCATGAAATGCATTTCTGCTGATATTGTTCATATAGGCGGTTGTAGCGCAAATGTAAATTTAATTAATTGGGGAAAAATTAAAATAAAGTAAAGAGTTATCATCTGCAAATAACCTCGAGGCTGAGTCACGTACATCATCAAAAAAGAAACCGCCCGAGTATCAAACTTTGCGGAACCCTTGCTGTATTAGTATTTGTTTCAGAATGTGAATTTCCAAATAAAACTTGTTTGAAAATAATTCAGTAAATTTCCTATGCATGTAAATGTGCTATCATGCCGCTATGTCAAACACAATTAAACGCTTTTGACACATCACAAAAAATAATGCAAACATTTTTCCTTTCCTCGAAAGCAAATAAAATATTATGGTACCTTTTGGGAGAATGAACAGACGTAAAACTGGAACGATGTCAAGGAAGAAAGCGATTTTCATAGCTTGTAAGTTAACTACACGCTTGATACCTAAACAGCTGTAGATATCATGGGACTTGGGTTTATTATTACACGGCGTTTGACGATCTCCATTTCAAACAACGACATAACGGTACTTGGTTAAGGATCCCCGTCCCTCCGCCTAAAAATGTAATGAGGCATTGTTTTTTTTTCTTCTACGGCATCGCTATTGCATAACCAAATCATTTCTGAACAATAACCCATACCTTGCAGTAGATTTTAAGGTTTGTTTTGGATATTATGAAATTTCGATTTTTTTTAAAATGGAAAAATGAAACAAAATACATTTTATTTGATGCAACGATGGTTTATTAGAAATATAACACATAAAAAATAATAACAATGTCAATATTGATGAACAAAACACACACAAAATGAGTAATTTTCTAACAATAATACTAAAACAAACAAAAATGCACGTTACATGAATCAATAAAATTCCGAGTGCCAATACAACACGTTTAGGACAACGAAAGGAAAATATAGGTGACAGAAAATAAATATCTTGCGGACTTACTTACTATACCATTTTTTTTTTATAAAGATACAAAAAAAATAAACAAAAAAGACAGACAACTCTTATATTTGTACCAATAATAATTCTAAATCCCAAAAAGTCGTATTCAATTTACAACATACAATATAGCACTTTTTATATACGAATATAATACATTAGGCATTACCAACCAATAAAATTACTTAAATGTAATAACCAATATAAAACAAAATTACACATTGTGTATGAATAACATTATAACAATGTACTTTACTATGTCATAGCAAAAATGTCACAATGAACAACAATAACAAAGTTTCACATATTCACAATAATAAATGTCTACATAATGTACAAATAACATACCATGTTGTGATATAAAAAAAACCCACTAAATACAACAATAAGAAACTTTTACATTATGGGCCTCAGTAGCCAGCGTCTCTTCAATGTGTGAACGAGTGTCACTCTGTTTCGTTGCATAGTCGTGGTCTAGCAGTTGATAGTGGACATCGTTGTTGTTATTATTGTCAGCTTATGCGTTCAGTTTACATTTAAAACGGCCGACTTTACATCGGGCTTGTCGGCCATCACTGCCACGACGTTAACGTGGTTTACATCGTTACGACAGGTTTTTTTGCCCATACTTTCACGATTGGAGATTTTCAACGCAAGGGACACAACTCTGTAGTCAAAACGTTATTCAAACGAAATTTATTCAAGGGAAGATAACAACATTGTCGAAATGGTAATCAGGGGCAGGTGACTCGAACACTGAAAAACGACAGGGGAATTCTTTCGTATTGGCTCTGCCTGGGACGGGGATCCTTAACACGCTCTAGACTTTGTGAGAAAGGTACACATTGCTGTTG